TTGCACCACATAGATTCCACCACACATGTTGCACAGCAGTGAGCGCACAAAACCCAATAGATTCCACCACGTACTGCGTCGCAGAGGCTGCACATCATAGTGCACTGCATAGATTGCACAACATATATTGCAATACAGATATTGCCCCACATCGATTGCACAACCTACAATGCACAACGTAACTTGCACAACTTATGTAGGTTGTGACATGTAGAGTGCACTACCTATATTGGTCCACATATGTTGCTTCACATAGATTGTACAACAAAAGAAAATACATATATTCGTGTAGATATAGCTGGAAGCACACCGTGTGGGGCCCACGCTGGCTAACAGAAATAACTCCTAACACTTTGCAGCAGTGTCACGGAAGGAGGGCGGGTGGCTTTCGAAATGTGAATCTCGCATTAACGACGCGCACACTCGTCGTAAAAGAATGCAAGACTCTCACGGATGGAGGGCTGCACCTTTTCAGCATGTGGCTCGCGCCGCAGCGCAGCGCACATTTGTCATAAAGCTGGCAAGAGATTCACGGATGAAGGGTGGGCGGTGTTCACAATGCTGCGCGCACGTTCGTCTCATAAGTTTGCAACAGCTCCACAGATGGTGGGCGGCTCGTTGTCAAAATGAGGCTCACCTTGGGGCCCTGCTCACTCGTCTTAATAATTTGCAGGAGCCTCAAAGACGGAGGCTGGTCGTTTTAAAAATGTAGCTATCGCCTTAGCGCCCCGCAAATTCGTCTTAACAGTTTGCAGGCGCTTCACGGATGGAGGGTAGGTCCTGTTAAATGAAAGTTCACAACCGCCTCACTGATGGAAGGCGAACGGTTTTCAAAATGAAGCTCTCGCCTCAGCGTCGAGCATCCTAAAAGATCGCAACAGCTTCGCGGATGGAGGGCGGGTGGTTTCCAAAAGGTGGCTCAACCCTGGTCGCGGCGCACAGTCGTCTTAAAAGCTTGCAGCAGTTTCGCGGATGGAACGCGGGTGGTTGTCGAAATGTGGCTCCTGCCTTGGCGCCGCGCACATTCGTCGTCAAAGTGTGAAACGGTCTCCCGGATGAAAGACGAATGGTTTTCAGCATGTGGCTGTCGCCTGAGGGCCGCGCAGATTCGTCTTAAAAGCTTACAAAAGCTTACAACCATCTATGTGAAGTCTTGTGGTTGACGTCTCAGGAATGATGCTCCGGCACGATTTAAGATTGTCAGGGCGCAACAGTCACGCTGATTCGCGGTGCAGTCCCAGGAATAACGCTCTGGCACGATGCAAACCCGTCAGGACGCAATAGTCACGCTGATTCGCGGCGTTCAAATCCAAAGAGCGATGTTTGGCGCGATGATGGATTCTCAAAAGATAATCTTCCAACGGGGCACTTCCAGCCGTGAAAAAAATTGGGGGAGAGCTTACTGCAGCATCGTTGATGGGCCTCGAGTTTACACTTGTCAAGCTTTCCTCCTCCTTCTCCAACACCCCCTCCTCCTCTTCATGTTCCTCCTCACCATCACCGTCATCATCAGAATCAGCATCATCATCATCATCATCATCATCATCATCATCATCATCATCATCGTCATCATCATCGTCATCATCATCATCATCATCATCATCATCATCATCATCATTACTACCACCACCACCATCACACTCACCATCACTAACACCAGAATCACCACCACCACCACAATCATCATCCTCATCATCATCATCAGCAGCATCATCATCCTCATCAGCATCATCATCATCATAATCATCATCATCGTCGTCATCATCAGTATCATCATCATCAGTATCAGTATCATTACCAGCATCAGCATCCTCATCCTCATCCTCATCCTCACCATCGTCATCATCAGCATCATCATCATCCTCATCATTATCATCCGCATCATCATCACCACCCTCATCACCACCACAACCATCATCATCATCATCATCATCATCATCGTCGTCGTCGTCGTCGTCGTCGTCGTCATCCTCATCAGCATCATCATCATCATCATCATCATCATCATCATTATCATCAGCATCGTCATCGTCATCCTCATCCAAATCATCCCCCTCATCACCATCATCATAGTAATCATAATCAGCAGCAACATCATCGTCATCAACATCACCATGTCGTCCTCTTCGTCGCTCTCCTGGTCGTCGTTCTTCTTTCCCTCCTCCTCGCCAGGCGACCCGCGGGGGGCGGTCCAGATCCGCCTCCACCGCGGCCTCCGCGCCGCGGGCCAGGAGCCCCTCGGGTCGGCCGCCGCAGGGGGGGGCGGAGGGGTGCGGGGGGGGGGGGGGGACGGTGGCAGGGGCGGAGGAGGGCCGACGTGGACGAGCAGTCATAAGTCGACGAGGACGACAAGACGGCACGCGCCGAAGGTGCAGGGCGGCCTTCGGCTCCAGGCGTGGCGGGGGGGGGGGAGGAACAGAGTGGTGGAGGTGGAGGGGGTGGAGGGGGTGGAGGGGGGTGGAGGGGATGGAGGGGGTGGAGGGGCAGAGTGAATGGGATGGGCGGGGCGGAGGGGAGAGGGGGGGGGGACGAGGGAGGTCGACGAGGGGGGGACGCGGGGGACGTGGCAGCCTCGAACTTCGCCCGGAGGCCGCCGAGCAGGCTCAAGATCACCTGCGCGCGCCCGCGCTGGGGTGGGCTGCGGGGCCCGCGCGGTCCGAGATGCCCCCGTTGGGCTCCTCAAGAGGGCACAGAGAAATAAAAAGCATGTTCTGGGAGGTCTTGGCAAGGGGAATTAAGGGTTAGTAAATCAGATTAGGGGGCTGCTAGGCCGGATCAGGCCGGAGTAAGCCCAGGCTGCAGCCCGACGAAGAGGGAGTCAAGCGGTCTTCAGTGCAACTGGACGGGATTATGCCGCACTAGCTAATGTTCGACCACGGATATACCAGCGCCGATGCTGAATTCAACCTCCCAGGAGCTGCACCCTCAACAAATGTGTCAGCATGAACTTTCGGAGGTCCGCGCGGATTTCAGGGATCGGCGGCAGATCCCCTCAGCGGCGCCTCTGGCGCGGCCCCTGGCGCGCTCCGCGCGCCAGGGAGGGGGGTCCAGCGCCGATCCAAGAAATCAGCGCGGAGCTCTGAGATGTTAGATCTATCCATGTGCTTCTTCTTGTTCTTCTTCTTCTTCCGCCCTCCTCCTCTCCCGCCGGGGCCTAGGACGCATTGAACAAAAAACATACTACGAAAGTGTTTTGCCTACATACTCGATAGGCCCAAGGGCTGTCAAAGCAAACGACTCGGGACGAAAAGCTTGGCCCTGGGAAAGGGCCACTTCCTCCCCCATCCCAAGTCCCTCATCCTCCTCCTCCCGCTGCTGCTGCTGCGTGCTCCCTCCCCCTCCTCCTCATCCATCTTACTCCTTCCCCTCCACCTCCAGCTCCTACAATCAGAACGTGTAGTAAGGACGGGTGGTAAGGACGCAAGTCATATGGAGGCCGAAGTTGAGATGTTTGGGGCGGCGGGCGACCAAAACCCCAGGGACCCAATGGTACCCTAACCCAGGGAAAGGCGAGTGAAAGCGGCAAAGGACACAACGGTACAATAGATTACGGCGCGCGTCCTTACTAAGCGCGCTGACTGTACTCCGGTGAGGAGGGGACTTGGAACAGAATAGTGGATTGCAGCATGATTAATACATGTTGGATTAACTCTGATCCTCTTCCTCCCCACCTTCACTCTTCGGCGTCCTCCACAGGCCTGTTTCTCTCACTGTGCGACCTCTAAAGTCTCCCAGAGCCCCCTACCCCACTAGAAGCCTTCACACCTTCACAGGAAAATTCCCATTCTCTCTCACCCCCCCCCCCCCTTCTCCCCCTCCTCCCTCTCTCCTCTGCTCCACTCTCCCGCCTCCAACTTCTCCCTCCCTCCCCGCGCGCGGGAACGTGCGGTGGGGGGGGGAGGATGATGATGAGGATGAGGAAGATGAGGAGGGGGAGAGAGGGGTGGGGGGGGGGCAAGGGGGGAGCAGAAGGGAAAGGAAGGAGATCGGAAAAGAAGGCGGGAGGGAAGGCGGGAGGGAAACGAAAAGCGGGGGAAGCAGAAGGAAGCAGGCGAAGGCGGGGGGAGGCACGTGGAGGCAGACGGACAGGAGGAGAAAGATCAGAGGGAGAATCGGCGGTGGACAAACCTCCCTTTAGTAAACCTCCCTTTAGTGAAAACGGCCTGGGACCGAAACCGACGGACCTGGACCCGCAAAATGACGGCCGCGATGCCTTCTCGCGAACCGAAAACTGCCAATTCCTTGATCGACGTGTCAGGGTAGGAGGTCTGTCCACCCCCGAGAGAAGAGGATGGGCGGGAATGGGATGGAGGGAGGGGAAGGGCGGAGGGAAGGGGTAAGGAGGAGGGACAGGGAGTAGGGGGAGGCAGTGGGTGCAGGAGGACACGATGAGGAACACCAGAAGGAGAAGGAGCAGCAAGAGCGAGAAGTGGAAGGAGGCCCTCGTCCCCCTCCTCCCTCTCCGCCACCTCGCTCTCTTGAAAACCACCCGCCATCCATCCGTGAAACTGTTGCAACCTTTAGCGAAGCCGCATTTGGAAAACCACGCGCCCTCCAGTCGTGACCCTGTTGCACATTTCACGCTTCAGGGTCATCAGTGGCGAGGATGTCTCAAGCGAAACGCCGAGCCCGCCCTACCGACACGCCTGAGGGTGCAACAAGGAGGAGTTATTCATGGAAAAAGATGATGGAGGAGGAGGAGGAGGAGGAGGAGGAGGAGGAGGAGGAGGAGGAGGAGGAGGAGGAGTAGGAGGGGCAGGGTTAGGAGGAGCAGGAGCATTAGCATGGGGAACACGGGGCCTCTGGGAAACGGGCCCTAGATCCCACGGCTTTCCCTCAGGACAAATTCTTCATCCTGAGTCGTTTTCTGACAGTCCCGGGGCCTGCGGAGGGCCCAGAGAAGTCAAAAACGGGGAAAACCCCAGGACCCGGTTCCCTCGGGACCCGCCTCCCCCATGGCGAGAGGACCCCCCCCCCATCCAGGCCCCCGCCAGCCTGGATCACGGAGTGGTAGAAGCTCGGATCCAGGCCTCAGCGCCCCCACCCCACCCTGGCCGCCAGCGCCACTGCGGCCGCGGCACACGCCGGCCGTCGTGGTTGTCGTCGCCGTCCTCGACCTCGTCCTCGTCCTCCTCGATCTCGTCTCGTGCTCGCGCGAGCGCGTCGAGTCGCGCAGCGACGCGCCGCCCCCGCTGCGAAGCGAGGCCCCCGCGGAAGCGGCGCGGCTGCGCCACCCGCCGCGCGAGGCCCCCGCCCGCGCGCGCAGTGCCCAGTCGCGCAGCGAGGCGCGACCCGCGTCGCGGAGCGAGGTCTCCCATGGAGCGGAGCTGCGAGGCGCCACCCCGGTCCCTTGGCGAGTCCCCCGCCAGCCCGTCTCGCAGCGGGGCCCCCGCGGATGCGATGCATGACACCTTTCCCGCTGTCGAGTGGGGGGCGAGCGGGGGCAGAGGCACAGAAGGAGGTTCCTCCTCCTCCTCCTCCTCCTCCTCCTCCTCCTCCTCCTCCTCCTCCTCCGCCTCCTCCTCCTCCTCCTCCTCCCCCTCCTCATCCTGGATGGAGGTCATCACACAGATGCAGACGAGGCATGTGCTAGGGTGGGGGGAGCCTGGGGGTCTGGCCAGCGCGATGGTCCACACCTGAGCATCCCGCCCCCCGAAAACCTGCTGAGGGGGCAGGACGCGTACGCGCGCTCTCCTGCAGATCCTCTCTTCCTCATCCTCCCTTTCCTCATTGTCTCGCTCCCCAGTCCGAACCTCCTGAAGAGGGCCTCCCATCCTTGCACATCTCCTTGTCCCCATCCTGCTGTTCCTCGTGACTCTTCGGCATCCTCACCCCTCCTCCTCCTCCTCCTCCTCCTCCTCCTCCTCCTCCTCCGCCTCCTCATCCTCCGCCTCCTCCTCCTCCTCCTCCCCTCCTCATCATCATCATCATCCTCATCCTCATCCTCATCCTCATCCTCATCATCATCATCATCATCATCATCATCAGAAGCAGCATCATTATCATCATCAACATCAACATCACATCATCATCATCATCATCATCATCATCATCATCATCAGCATCAGCATCAGCATCAGCATCAGCATCAGCATCATCATCATCATCATCATCATCATCATCATCATCATCATCATCATCATCATCCTCGTCATCATCATCATCATCATGATCATCATCATCATCAGCATCATCATCATCACCAGCATCATCATCAGCATCATCATCATCATCACCATCATCATCGTCATCATCAGCAGCATCAGCACCAACATCAGCAGCATCATCATCCTCATCATGATCAGCACCATCATGATCAGCATCATAAGCATCATCAACAACATCAGCATCGTCATTATCATATTCATCTTCATCAACATCATCAACATCACCATCATCATCAGCATCATCATCAGTGCCGGCATAATCGGCATCATCGGCATCATCATCATCATCAGCAGCAGCAGCAACATCATCATCACCATCATCATCATCATCATCATCACCACCACCATCATTCCTCGGCTACCCGCAAGAGTGACCCGAAGTGACAATGACATCTGGTGCGCGGCTTTAGAGAGCCGTAGGGGGCCGTATTCGAGCATGCACGCCAATGACGGGGAAACCTTGTGGGTCCGCACAAAATACGAGAAGGGCGCCCGTGCACCGCAACCATCAGGACCCACACTGATCGCAGTGACGGTGTATAGTTCCTGCGTTTCAGCGGAGGCAGGACAAGTCGGCATCGAATCGGGGAATTGGATCGGATCGGAATGCGCGCAGGAATCGGGCCGCATCGGCACGGAGCCGAAATCAAATTGAATCGGCCGCGCCCAGATGCACCACAACGCCGTGCAAGCACCGGGCCGCATCGGATCGTCGGAATAACGGAACCGAGTCGGATCGGGCTGGCCGAGATCGACATCGAACCGGATCGATCGTGGGAAAATCCCAAACTGCCAGTACCGTGAACTATTCACAGTACCTCTCCCAGGGGGCGTGCCGACCAGGACTTCAGAGCGAATTCAGTCGTGTCGACGAGGACCTCCCAGGAAGCCCCGAGAGCGAAAACGACGGAAGGGTGGCGGTATCGGTACTTTCCCCCCTCTGATATCGGATCGGCGGGGCCCTGGGAAGGTCACTCCAGCGGAAGGCCACGCTTACGCGCAGCATGCCCCCTCGTTGCTCCGCTTCTCAGGCGGCCCTGTGCTGCCCCGCCCCGTTCGCTCGCTGAGGGCGCGGCTGCTCATCCTCAGCACCTGTGGGCGCCGCGACAGATGCGGCCGCCGACACCCACGCAGCGCAGCGTACAATAGACAGATACGATCTGCAACCGTGCCTCTGGCACGAAGTGGAGTACCCCAAGGCTCATGCAGCACTGAGAGGGCTGCGCTGCTGCAGCCAGAATTGGGAACCTTTTAAAAGCGCGGACCAGTAGTTTTCCAGGCAGGCCCGGGTCTGCTGGGCCGGCCCGGGCCGGCCGGAATCGCTCGCATCAGC